GGCTCTTTCTCTCGGGAGAGCCAGGAGGTTGACCACACCAAACAGGTGCACCCAACTCTGGCAAGCTCGGTCTCCGTCTCAGCAACCCTGAAGGCATCCGATCTTCAGATCTTCTCTACTTCCCTACAATGAGGCTTTTGTTCTGACTCACTTTTATTGGCTGGACAGTCCTCCAGGCCCTTTGCAATGAACCCACTTAGTCCTTCCAAATGGAACCTGTTCTCTTTTCCTTCTTCACCTTTCAGCAAGGTTTCCACCTGTTGACCCTTCCAGTCTGGTCTGGACCACAGTTGGAAGTGTCGCGGGTGAGAAAGGCAGGACCTAGATGGCTGGCTGTGTGTCAGGGACCTGACTCAGGGCCTAGGAAGCTGACCCTTTTTTAAAAAATTCCCTCTTGGTCCTTCTAAACCAAACCAAACCAAACAAATCAGAAGAGGGAACATACTTAAACAAATCCAGAAAACACAACGCCATCACCCAAAATATTGAAATGGAAAACAAACCCTTTCTCTGGAGACTTGGTCTGAAACATACCAAGCTGGCACTGGGCGAGTCAGTGACCCCGTAGAGGAGAAGACTAACGTTTTCCAAATGAACGTGTGGGCAATAATAGTCGCAAACAAATCATGTGCTGTTGTTGCCTAAATCTCGGGAGCAGGGTTGGGGATCTTGATGTGACTCACTCTCTCTAGCACCTCACTCACTATGAAAGTCATGTGTGACTTCTAATCCTAGGGTCTCCGGCCTCAGGTGGGCTGCTTCTTGGGCTGTGAATAGGTAACTGCCCCCCGTCTTGAAACCCACACCCCAACTCCTGCTCAAAAAAAGTATGCTTACTCTTGAAAGCACAGAGTGAGTAGGTCCAGGTGGGTCTGTTTTCAGGGTTACATGGAGATTGCACTTGAGAGCACCCAGCATTTTAGTATCAGGAGAATCCCCTCCCACCAGTAGTACAGATGTGGAAGCTCATGATGTTCCCTCCCTTCACTGTCTGGGGCTTTAGGAGTCTTGAGGAGGTGATGCAGAGAAGCTGAGTGCCTCTGAGCATCACCAAAGTGATGCAGGAGATACTGGAAGATCCAGTTCATCCGTGTTACTAAGATTCTGGATTTTTGTTTTAATGTTGTTTTTAAAAAAAAAAAAAAAAAAAAAGCTTTCAGTGATGCTTCTCAAACGTTTAACATGCACATGAATTACCTGGGAGATCATCTGTTACAAGGCAGATTCAGATGCTTTAGGTCTGGGAGGGGCCTGACACTCTGCCTCTTTAACAAGCTCCCAGATGAAGTTGCTGATCCGAGGCCACACTTTGAGCAGCAAGGACCTAAAGATCTGGGAGACTGGGAGACATCAGAGCCAGAGAAGTCAAGACACACAAGGATTGATGATGGATACCCAGAAGAGGGACAGAAAAGCAGAGAGAAACAAGGGTACATACACACAGAATCAGAGGCTGAGGTGGGAACAGAGAAAGACATGGTGATGAAAAGAGACAGAGAAGGGAACCGAGTCAGAGAAACAGAGAGAGGCAAAGGCAGAGAGACGAAGCCCAGAGACGGAAGAATGATAGGGCCAGAGAGACTGGCAGACAGAGCCAGGGTCAGGGAAAGGAGGCAAGGTGAAGAGCCAGGGAGAGGCCAGAGTTGGCCACGGGCAGCCCATGACCACTCAGGCTTCTGACCAGCCGGGAAGGGGCTCACAGGTATGGGTGGGATGAGCCCCACAGAGTGTCAGGTGCGCAGACCTGAGATGCCCCACCTTCCAAGCCCCTCAGCCTTCCCACACCCACACCACCTCTCCTTGCTCCTGTAGTGCTGCCCCCACCTTTCTCGACTTACTCCCCCTTGGCTCTCCTATGAATCCATTCTTTCTCCTAACTGGACCTTTACCAGCAGGTTGTAAACATTTTAAAGCCTTTCCAACCTAAACAACAACAACAAAAAACTCTTCCTTGACCCCACACCTCTTTCTAGCCTGTCCTTTCTCAGCTAAACTTTCTGAAGGAATTGTCTGTACTGATTTCTGCCTCTACCACTTTCCCCAAACAGCTCTTGTTAAGGTCCCTGCTGGAGCACATGGTAAGTTCAGCAGTCAATTTCCAGTCCTCATTTACTTGGTGTCTCAGCAGCCTTTTGGCCTCTCGATCTCCCCTCCTGCTTGCTGGCTTCCGGGACATGATATTCCCTGGTTTCCCTGCTCCTTTTCTGATTCCTTTGCCAACCGATCCTCCATTACTCGATCTTCCTACTTGAAGGGCTACAGACCTGAGTCCTGAGCTCTCGTCACCTGGTCCTGTTTTTAGTCAACCTCTTCCAAACCCTAAGCAGCTTCTCTTCAGCCTGTCTTCTACACCACAGCCAACGTGATCTTGGTAAAATGCAAATCTGGTCATGTTGGCTTGCAATTAAAAAACCCTTCAGACCCTGGCCGGTTTGGCTCAGCGGTTAGAGCGTCGGCCTGCGGTCCAGACAGACCCGGGTTCGGTTCCCGCTAAGGGCATGTACCTCGGTTGCAGTTTGTCCCCAGCCCTGGTTGGGTTGTGTGGGTGGCAACCGCTCGATGTGTCTCTCTCACGTCGATGTTTCTCTCTCTTTCTCTCTCCCTCCCACTCTATCTGAACAAAAAATGGAAAAATGTCCTCGGGTGAGGATAAAAACAAACAAACCCTTCAGCAGCTTCCCCTGGCTCTGAGAATAAAGACCCAACTACAGGTGACCTTTCTGAGATGCTCTCACCTTCCCTTGCCCTCCAGGCCTTCTAGCTATATTGGCCTTCTTTCTGTTCCTTGAATTCCAAGCTCCATTCTACCACAGGACATTTGCATGTGCTATGCCCTCTATATAGAACTATGCTGTACAATACAGAAGCCACTAGCCACATGTGTCTAGTGAGCGCTTGGAGCATGGCTAGTGCAACTGAAAAACTGAATTGTTAATGTTATTTAATTTTAATTAATTAAATTTAAAATCATTCAATTCAATATTGGTGAACTTAACTATTCTTCAAACAACTTGAGTATGTGAATCCACTATTCAACCTTAATTTTTATGAACTCTAAATATAGCTCAACTATTTCTGATGACAATTCAGAGTCTAAAATAAGATATGCTATACAGTGTAAAAAATATATATCAAAGACTTAGTTTGAAAAAATGTAAAAGATCTGATTAATAATTTCTTATATTGATTATATGTTAAAAAGATAACATTTTGCATATATTTAGTTGAAGAAAAAATATAATCAAAATTAATTTCACCTGTTTTTTTTTAGTCTGTAAATCTAGCTACTAGAAAATTTTACATTCATAATTAGTTCATATTATATTTCTATTGGACAGCATTGGTCTAGAATGCCATCTCTGGACTGCAGGCTGATGCTCTAACCGCTGAGCCAAACCGGCCAGGTCTAGAATGCCATCTATTCTCTTTGTCTTAACTACTTCTACTTGTCCTAAGCTTGGCTCAAGTATCACTTCCTCTGAAAAGCTTTGAGATAAAGTCTTTCACATTTATTCACTTTCATAGCTATGTGTATGTCAGTGGTTGCCTGCCCTTAACTCTACTCAATTGTAATTATACGTTTATTTGAATGATTATTTGATTCACGTGGTCACCCTCACCAAACTCTAAGCACCAAACTCTAAGAATCCTGTCTGGTTCCCCTCCTGGAACTAAACACTTAGTCCAGAGCCTGGTGCATGGGTGGCTGCCAGTGGACACTTCCAAACGCCGCAAGGTGTCTTCCCTCCACCGTTCTGCCTCCGGGTCCACTGTCCCAAGCACCTAGAGAGCCTGAGCACTCCCTTCGTCCACGAGTGCCACTGTAGCCCTTCGGAAGAGACAGTCCACCTCTTCCAGACGGAAGGTCTTCCTCTGTCGCTGACCAGCGCCCTGGCTGGTGTGGCTCAGCAGTTTAGATGCCAGCCCACGCAACAAAGGGTCTCAGGTTTGATTCCTGGTCAAGGGCACAGGTTCGATCCTGGCCCTGGTCTGGGCATGTGCAGGAGGCAACCAATTGATGTGTATCTCTCACATGGATGTTTCTCTCTCTCTCTTTCTCTCTCTCACTCTCTTTCCCCCTTCCGCCTTCCCTTCCCCTCTCTCTAAAAATCAATGAAAAAATATCCCAGGGTGAGGATTAACAATATATATATCTAACCAGAATCTCTTCATCCTTAGGTAATTGGAGTAGTGCTTCTCAGATGTGACTGTGCACACCAGTCACCTGGAACCTTGTTAAAATGCAGACTCCGGTTCACCGGGTCTGGGATGGGACCTGAGATTCTCATTTCTAATAAGCTGCCCAGTGATGATGTCAATGCTGATCCACAGACCACACCCTGGGTAACAAGGATATAGAGAAGTTGGCCCCACCATGAGTATCCTCAACGTTTTCTTCCATTAGGGGTCTCTTAAAATTCAGCCCTGTCCCTTCCTGCTCCCACGCACACCCCACCAATCCCTATACCCTGAAAAAGAATGTAGTGCCTGGGGCCACTGTGGTCATTTAGTTTTTGTTTTTAATTTGAAATAAACCTTTAAGCAGTTTTCAGAGTCAAGGCAGCTCTGATGTGGATCATGGATGTGTAACAATGATCAAGTTGCACAGCTGGAAATCCAGAACAGTCTTCACGCTTTGGCTCCTGTCTGCCACTCGGGGCTGATCCTACGGCTGCTCCAGGAGGCTCCGCTCGGCAGCTTGGGCCCGGATGCTGGGAAACGTTCTCTCGGCCACGTCCACTGGGAGCATCGCAAACCACGTGTGTCCTGTTGGGCCCTCTTCCGAGCAGAGATGAGCCCTCTGCCTCCCTGCTCTGTTCACATCGTGATGTCCAATGGATAGATGTGTCCTCTGGTGGCCTCAGGTGTGCGTGTGTGCACGCACACATGTTTGCATATATGTTGATTGCATGTTTGGAGATGGGGGTCTGAGTGTGTGTCCATGTATATGTGCGGAGTGTGTGTACGTGTCGCCACCGGGGCTCCAGTTCAGTAAAGCTTCCATCATTCTTTCTGCTTTGGCTCCTGGGCCTGGAAGCTAAAGAATGTCCCTAGGTGGGCCCTGCAGATGTGAGCGGCCCCACTGTCCCTTGCTGCCGCTGCTGCTGCCGCTGCTGCTGGCCCTTGCGCCTCCGAGAGCCAGTGCCCGCCTCCTTGCTCTCCTTCCTGCTCGGGTTCCTGTTGGCATTCTCCCGCCGGCCCTGGCCTCCCTTCCTCCTCTTCTGCCCTGCAACCCAACAGCAGGAAGATTCAACACAGGACATCTAGGCACAAGCAGGGAGGCCCGGGGCATGGCCCTGGGCCCTGGGAGGGGAGCGGTGAGGAAACTGGGTAGGGGGAGGCACAGAGGAGGCCGGAATCGCTGCCTTTAGGCAGTCGGGGTGCCCTTAAGGCCTCCTCTGACCATCAGCTATTTCAGAGGATCCTGCAACTTGGGCACTGAGAGGGGGTCCCAAGAGCCTTTTCATCCTCCACCCCTAGATAAAGCACACATCCTCCTCCTCCTCCTCGTGTCTTTCTCAGACCCGGGATCCCAATGGGCCAAGATGACCAGTGCAGTTTTTAGGACAGGCAGGATGGCCCCACCCCCTCTGGGGTCAGCTGCCACATCATTGGCTACTGTAGGCTGAGTGACCTCGGTCAATCACTACACCCCTTTCCTGGCCCTTAGCTGACCTCTCGGGGCCCTTCCAGTGCCCACATCTGCGGGCTCGGAATAAATGGAGAAACTGAAAGGATGTGGACACGGAAGTTTCCAGCTCCCACCACACCGAGTTCTGGGTCTCTGCCAGGACCTGGCACTGGTTTGCACCACAAGGGGTCTTGAGTTGGGGATGCCCCGTTTGGCCCTGGCCTGAGACCCTTTCCTGGGCAACAAGCAGGAGCAGAGGTGGTCTGATCTCTTGTGGTTGGGCCTGACCCCCGACTCGGGGGAGGCGGAGGCTGCAACTCACCCTCAGGACAGGGCGTCCTCCGCACTGTGCACCTCCGGATCTCTTTGGTGTCGGAGCACATGGCAAGGTCCCCGCCAGGTGCATGGAGCACCCTTCGCGTCCGCTCCTCAGAGCCCCTCCGGAATCCACAGAGCCTCTTTCTCTTGGAGCACGGCCCCCACGAGGCCCACTCACTCATTTCGCATTGCACTGGCAGGAAGGGCGAGAAGAGAAAGAACGAGGCTGGGGTCACATCTCCTGCTCTGGCCCAGACACTCAGGGGAGCTTCTCCCACCTGCTCTCTACCTGGGGCCCGGGCCCAGAGGGCAGAAGTTTCTCTGGACAGTGCCCAGCCACATCTCCCTGCCCACCCTCCTCCTGGGGTCCTGGACCCTCTGCCCACAGTGCCCATGTGCCGTACCAGGACTGCTGCACTCCGTGGTGCCGTTGGCAGCTGCGGAGCCCTCGGGACAGGCCGGGTAGCAGCGGCCCTTGTGCAGATACAAGCTCTCCTTACACTTAGTGCAGAAGTTGTGGCTGAAACAGGCCTCGCAGTGCTCAATCTTGCATTCTGAGGAGAGGACCAGAGTGGGGGCCTCCGGCTCGACCTCCCCTCATCCCCACCCCAACGCCCACCATCCCGGCCCACCCACACTGAGAGCAGGACGGTGGTCTAGAGCTGGGATGACTGTAGAGGAGTATTGGGACAGGACAGGACGAGGGTGGGGGGCTGGGGAGAAGGCCAACGTGGCCACTCTTCAGGGCTGGCTGGGACTCACCAGGGTCAGCCAATCCCAACCCAAACCCAATCCCAGGCCCTGGAACCCAAGGTGAGGCCCAAGAGAGCCAGTTTCAGAGGTGGAGGGCAGGACCCTCTGGGATTAGTGGAGGTGAGAGGCGAGGGTCCCAGAGGACCACCTAGTCAGAGCTGAACTGAGGGATACAGCGACCCCCTGACCGTGGCTGTGTGGTCTCCTCTTCCCCCACTGCTGGGCATCCACAAGACCCCAAACCCTGGATCTCCTCCGCCTGGGGCAGAAAGAATCAGCTTGGAGGAGGGGGAAGCAATCCCAGGGCAAATTCCTCTCTCTCCGCAAGGCCAGTTCCAGGAACCGCCTTGGTTGGACGCCTGGGTCCTTCCCCCTCCCTCCTGCCAGCTCTCCCTCCTCTGGGGCAGTGGGGGAGGGGGGTTCAGGGCTGGAGAAGCAGGCAGGGTCTTTCACAATCTCTGCCTTCCCAGATTGTGGGCAAGGCTAACTTCCTCCCAGTCTCTGGCACCTGGAGCCTGGGCTGCCAGTTTCCCAGGAGCTGGCACAGCCAGGAACTCCCCACCCCAAATACCCTGAGGACCAGGAGGGCAGCCCCAGGGTCCTACCTCCAACCTCACAAGCTCCCTACGCCCACCGCACCCTCCTCTGTGGCTTTATCTCAGCCTCGCCTCCCTCGCTCCCCGCATGCTCTGCCTCCTGGGTCTGGTTGCAGATGGAACAATAGCAGCGGCCATGGATTGGATGCCAGACACGAAGGGCTTTATATATGCCTCCCACGACAACCCCATGGGTAAAAACTGGTACTCTCATTTTCAAGATAAGACTGTGGGGCGGTTACGACGTGCCCAAAGTCACTCCATGAACACGCAGCTGAGCTGAGAGTACAACCCCCTCGGCCGACCTGAGGTCAATTCTGTCCCTTCCAGCCTCGCTGTCATCAGCTATAAAAAGGTACCATCACTTAGGTCCTGTCTCCATCTGAAGGGTGTGGTGGGCTCAACTGATATGAGATCTGGAAACACATTCTAAACTCCAAGGCCCTGCACCAACGGAGGGAGCACTGGTTTTGCTCACGGGAGTGTGTTCACCGTGTGTCCCCGGCATGTCACAGCTGAGACGGGGTGGATGTGTGCCCGCACGTGCCTTGAAGCACTTGGGGCTGTGGCTGGTGCAGGACAAAGGAGCCGAGTGAGAAGACCAGGGGGAAAAAGCGGGGAACAGCAGGCTGGCGGGGCTGGAGTCTCCGCAGCCAGTGGAGCCAGGGCGGTGTTTAAGCAGCAGTGTGAGGGGTTAGGCTGTGTGTCTCAGAAGCATCTTTCTGCCTGCGGTGTGGAGGGGGTCGAAGGGAACCAGACGAGGGTTGGAGGACAGATCAACAGGCTGTTGCATTAGTCTAGGAGAGAGGTGACGCAATGGCAGAGAGGGAGCAGGCATGATCAGTCATTGGATGGATGGGGATGGCACAAATGAGAGGCCGGCTCTCAAGTCTATGGCGTGGATGATGGGACACGGTGACTCGTGGGGATATAGGTGGTTGCAGGTTTGGAGGGAGATGCAGTTCTGATACAGACACACTGAGATGGAAATGTGGATGGGATATCGGGTGGAGATGTCTGGCCAGCAACCAGATACTTGAATCAGAAGTCCCATGTCCCTTCCTCAGAGTGCCCCCTACTCCTCTTGCTGGCCACCCATAGTTCAAAGACCCTCCCCCAGTGTCCGGAGTCTCTGGTGCCCACACTCACTGATGCACTTGTTCATGTCGGGGTTGCGGGCATCGAAGTACCCAGGCGGGCAGGACGGCAAGCAGACGCCCACCTGGCGGATGTCGTTCCTCTCCAGCAGGATGAACAGCTTGGGCGAGCACTTGAGGCAGCCGTTGACCTCAGAGCAGAGCTCACAGCCTTTGGCGCAGGCCTGGCTGCCCTCGGCACTGACTGCAAGGGCGGAACAGGGTGAGAAGGGCTGTCAGAGAGCCCTCGGCCTTTCCCAGGCTCCCACAGAATGGGAAGTGAGGAGACTGGGCTTTCCCCCTACAGAAGGAATGTGCTTCTCAGAAAGCACAGGCCCGGCTGGCAGCTCTCTGCACGGCTGCTTTATAGACTCCCCACCCCAGGATCCTCTCTCAAGGGGACGAGCACAGACGCCTGGAGCAAGAGCTCCCATCCATTCTCTCTCTCTCTCTTTTTAAAATTGATTTTAGAGGGAGAGGGAGAGAGAGAAACATCGATGAGAGAGAACATCAACTGGCCGCCTCCTGCATGCCCACCAATGGAGATCTGGCCCACAACCTGGGCATGTGCCCTGACCTCTCGGTGCATGGGTCGATGCTCAACCACTGAGCCACATTGGCTGGGCTCTCCCATCCATTCTCTCTCTCTTTTTTAAATTGATTTCACCTGTTCTTGTGTTTTTATTATTTTTTATTTTTTTATTTTTTATCCTCACCTGAGGACATTTTTGCATTTATCTTCAGATAGACTGGGAGAGGAGAGAGGGAGGAAGAGAGAGAGAAACATTGATGTGAGAGAGACACATCACCTGGTTGCCACCCACATGACCCCAACCGGGGACGGGGACAAACTGCAACTGAGGTACGTGCCCTTAGTGGGAACCGAACCCAGGACTCTCTGGCCCGCGGGCCAATGCTCTAACCACTGAGCCAAGCCGGCCAGGGCTCCCACCCATTCTCAATGCCTCCTTAGCTCCAGGCACAGCACAGGCTCGCCCTCCAGGCTTGCTTTACCATCCCAGAGAAGCTACTGAAGCTGCACCCTTCCTGGAACTTCCCCCTACCTTCCCCAGAAGAAGGAGGGCTTTTTATCCTCCAGAAAGTTTTAAGGACAAGAATGATAATGAGTTAAACTATCTGAAGAAAATCACCTGCCTGGAAACAAGAAGACATAACTTATGTCTAGAACAGTGGTTTCAACCAGAGGCGACAACTGCTCCCCAGGGGATATTTGGCAATGTCTAGAAACATTTTTTATTGTTACACTGGAGAGTTGCTACTGGCTTCTAAGGGACAGAGGCCAGGGAAGCCAGTACACAGCCTACCATGCATGGGGCAGCCCCCACAACAAATTATCTGGTTCGAATTGTCAGCGGTGCTGAGGTTGAGCAACCCTGGCTGAGCACCATCCTGAGGCAGCGTGATCGCCGGCCCAGCAGACCTTTGATCTTGTTTCCTCATCCACCTGTTCAACCAACGCTCACGGAGCCTCTCCCAGGTACTGCGTGCCGTGTGAGCGCTGGGGACCCCGAGGCAAAGACGCCAAGCCACGCTGCCCGGGCCTTTCGATGGTGCAGACAGACCCGCCAACAGGCAAATGCTGACAGCCACGAGAGCCAGCAACAGGGCACCCAAAAAGAAGAGAGGGAAGGAGTCCCAAAGAAGGTACCATTTGGGCCAGGTCTGGAAGAATGAGTCTATCTGTCCCTGGAGAGCAGAGACAAGGGCCCTGGGAGCAGGACTGCAGATGTACAAAACAACCCAAGGGGAACAACAGATAATTTGGGGTGCAGGAAGGTTGGGGAGGGGAGTGGTGAAAGATAAGGAATCCTCTCTCTTTTTTTCTTTCTTTTTTTTATCCTCACCCGAGGACATTTTTCCATTTTTTGTTCAGATAGAGTGGGAGAAAGAGAGAGAGAGAGAGAAACATCGACGTGAAAGGGACACATCAAGTGGCTGCCACCCGCACAACCAACCAGGGCCGGGGACAAACTGCAACCGAGGCATGTGCCCTTAGCGGGAACCGAACCCAGGTCTCTATGGACCGCAGGCGGATGCTCTAACCACTGAATCAAACCGGCCAGGGCTCTCTTTTTTTCTTTATTGATTTTAGAGAGAGAGAGGGAGAGAGAAATAGGAATATTGATAAGTGAACATTGATGGTCCCCCCCCCCCCCACTGGGGATTTGGCCCATAACCTGGGCATGTGCCCTGACCGGGAATCAAACTGGCAACTTCTTAGTGCATGGATTGATGCTCAACCACTGAGCCAAGCCGGGCAAGGAATCCTCCTTAAAGGGCCTTTTATATCATGCTAAGGAATTTGCCCTTGATCTTTCTGGGCAGCATTCCCCAAAGAGTACTCCTTGGAACATGGTTCCCCTAAATGTGTATAGGGGGCCACTTGCAGGAGGTAAGACTGAGAATCGCTGGGTGCAACATGCCTAAACAAGACTCTTTACTGCAGGGTTTCCTGCGTCCTTTATGATGCTTCCGAGCCAAGTGCCTCTCCAAGAAGGGGGCAGAGAGCTGCAGTTCCCAAACATTCTGGCCACAGAACCCTTGTTTTGCAGAGTTTTTCTTGGGACCTTTCTCAGAGCTGATTGGCCATCAGAGAGCCATTGGCAGCTTTCAAGCAGGAGCCAGGCCTGCTCTGATTGACACGGTGGAAGAGTTCCTTGGACAGCCTGGACGGAGACCAGAGACTGAAGAACCATTTAGAAGGAAGCTGACCAGATCACCTAGGTGAGAAAGATGAAAGGGTCTGAAACAAAATCTGGTTCAGAGATGCTTGGTGAATAGAAGCAGTAGGTCCCAGTGACCAATAGGAGGAGGAGTCTGGGTTGAGGCCCAGTATCTAGGCCTGGGGTATGGGTGAACGGTGGGGCCAGTCACTAAGAGGCCCATAGGAAGAGAAGCAAGTTGAGAAGAAGCAAAGGAGCTATGAGTGGCTCAGAAAGAGCCAGGCAGCGAGGAGCTGTAGATCCGGGTTGGAGACAGATCCGGGCTGGGGAACCAGAACAGAGACGGCAGGAGATCATGCAGGACCCAGAACTCAGGCTGCAGAGTGGGCGGGACCTGGAGCCAATGCCCAGCCTGTGACCCCAGGTGGAACGCCACATCTGATGGGCCTACCTCCTCACCCCTGAGAAAGGGAGATGCTGACACCCTCTGGAGAGGGCTGCTGGGAGGAGCACCTGCTCCACGCATGCGCCCTGATTTCACAGCAGGAGGGGTAAGACTTCGGCAGCTGAGCAGAAAGGAAGAGGAGAATAACAAATACAATGCTAACGACAACAAAATCATGATAATGGCAGCCTAGTCGTAAATGTCTACACTTACTCTGTGGCAGACACTGTTCTCAGCGTTCTGCAAGGATCGATTTAGTCACTCCTTACGACCCACGAAGTAGGTACGATCATTTTCTCTGTCATTCTCGTTTTCACAGAGAAGAAAGCAGAGGAGCTAAATTACTTGACCAAGGCTTCACAGCCTGGACGTATTCCAGGCAGAGGGTGCAGAGTCTATGAAGGCCGCGGTAGGACGACACAAGGTGACGTGGGAACTGAAAGCAAGACTAGACTGATTTTTAAATGTATCTGTATAGAGTCAATATTATTTGATTAACCAATACATTTAAAAACTAACATTGTTCTTGTTGGTTTAGTTATTATGGGAGCAGAAATACTCCAAATGTTGTATTGGATTCATGAGAGGGCCCTTGGGATTATTTTTCCATTTTGGGCCTTTATTCAGCTATATTACAAAGTAATTAAATCACTGTCTATATTAGATGCAATTTCTACTTCAAACAAATTAAGTCCTCTATTACTCAAGGTTTTGACGTAATTCACTGCCGAAATGACGCTCCCTCTAGGGTTTGGCCTTGGTTTCAATAACAGACGTTGTTCAGATGTCCCACTTCCGGCCCCCACAGCCATATTCTCATGCTCAGTTAGTCCTTATCACTTTTGTTAAGGACAGGTGTGCGAAAGGCCTTCTCAGAATCCTGCTGAATCCCATTCAACCAACAACCAATCTCTGCATCTTCCTTCAGATGTCTCCACGATACGGCAAGAGAAAGTGTGGCACATATGAGGCCCTGAAATTAGTTCACGTGACTGGAACCTGGAGTGAGTGGTGAGACATGAAGCTGGAGAAGGAAGCAGGGGCCAGATGACAAAGGGTCTCAAACATGTACAGAGGAGTTCAGACATTGTCCTCAAGGCAATGAGGAATCACTGTGGGTTTTAAAATAGGAGACGTAATCTGAACTCCATTTTTTTTTTATCCTCACCCAAGGACATTTTTCCATTTTTTGTTCAGATAGAGTGGGAGGGAGAGAGAGGAAGAGAGAGAGAGAGAGAAAAAAACATCAACGTGAAAGGGACACATCAAGTGGCTGCCACCCACATGACCAACCAGGGTCGGGGACAAACTGCAACTGAGGTACGTGCCCTTAGCGGGAACCGAACCTGGGTCTCTCTGGACTGCAGGCTGAAGCTCTGACCGCTGAGCCAAACCGGCCAGGGCTGGATTCCATTTTAGAAAGATCACTCTGTCATGTGGAGAATGGGGTTGGTAGGGAGGGCAAAATTGGAGGCAGGAGGACTCCCAGCTTCAAAGACATGGAGCTGAACCAAGAGGATGGAAGGGAAAAGACATGTAAGACATTCAGGTGGTACAATCAACAAGACTAGGTGATGTCAGGGAAAGCACAAGTCAAGATGACTTAGAGGTGTTGGGCTTGGGTGACAGGGTAGCCATTGGCCCTTCGCCAAGAGAGGGACCGTAGGAGGAAGAGCAGGGTTGAGCGGGGGAATGATGAGTAGCTGAGTTTCAGATGTGTTTAGGTTGTGGTTCCTGTGGGACGGCCAGAGGAAGGTGTCTAGTAAGCAGTTGAACCTGCGGGTCTGGAATGCAAGAGAAACATTATGGCTAGAGATTGAGACATGGAGTCCTTCACATGTAAACAGTCATCAAAGGCATGGAGGTCCATGAGATGGCAAGGAGAGGGGTACAGAGAGTGAGAAGAGGAATTAGACATTTAAGAGAAGGCCAGAAAAATAAGGGCTAGCCTAGAGGCCAAGAAGGAGCAACCGGACAGGTAGGGATGCTCAAAAGCATAGTGCATCGTGGAAGCCAAGAGAAGAATACACTCAACAGAGGAGGGAGGTGTCACACGCCAAATGCTGCTGAGATGTC